GCTTAAGAGAGTGAAATCTGATGATCAGTTTCAGGTGGAGCTTTAGGCACTTTGTTCATTTGTCAAGACTTTTTTAAATCCTGAAAATATCACATTTAAATTCAAGCATCCTCAAAGATGGCAAAGCACCTGGGCAAGCCCTGTAAATGGCATGCCTGAAAAATAAAGTCAATGCTTTCAGTAATCTGTAAACATTTACCTTGTGAATCTCGTCCTTCAGCAATGTCCCACTGGTCTGTATGATCTGTCTCAGTGCTGAGAAGAAAACACAACCAATCAGTGGAAGGCAGCTAGCAGAACAAAACAACAGATAAAAACTAAACACAGCAGAAAAAGATTGTTTACAAAGTGAGGAAGTGCCTTACCTCTGAGGGCTGACAGACATGTATCCTGATTGGATAAAAGGTCCCCTTTCCTCTGAAGTGATGGTCCCACAGTCTCTGCTAAGACCAACTGCTTGGTCCTTCGAGGGCCCGGCTTCCCTCCAGGAACCACGTCAACTGACAGACCAGTCCGCAGCTGGAGAGTGGAAACAAATGAAAACAAGCAATGCAACAGTAAATACTAAATGTAAGCCCCTCCCCCTTTTTAGATTAGGTTTATATTTAAACTTTTTTATATTTAATGTAAAGGTTCACCTTAACAGATTCTGCTTCTGGTGTGATGTCAAGCAGCAGGTGGTTAAACAGGAGGCCTGCATGGCTGGAGGCTCCCTGAAGGATGCCAGCACAAGATCCAACAACCTTGACCCACAGTTCTAAGGTCCTGTACACACATACTCTCACCGAGCTGCAAGAAAAAGAAAACTGGTCAAATAATCCAACAGGATAATGTTTACAGTGCTGCTTTTTAGACTGTCCTAAAAGCTCACGTCACAAAAACCATCCTTCTCAACCCCAGCTGTATGTGATAGTTTACTGCTGCAGACAACCCAGTTAAACATGGCTGCCACAGCTGAAGACATAAGGCACCATCACAAATTCTTCAGGAATTGTTCTACAATAAAGGTTTCACCATTCAGTTTGAGAGTAAATCTAGGACGTTTTTTTTTTAATCTAAAAACAACAGACTCATTGATTACTGCAAATACTGATTAGTACTGTATTTTAGCAAGAATCTTACTTCTAATAGTAAAACTGTACAAGTCTGCATGCATCTACAGGTTCTCTGTAAAAAACTTAAACCAATATATTGATTAAACATGCAGCTTGATGATGAACATTAGTAAACAAGATGACTATTTATTTCCTGTATATAAAATCAACGTGGAAAACACTTTGCTCATCTGAGAACTTAGAAAATCTAAGAAAGCAAACCGAGTCTAGAAAAACGAGGGTTTTTCCACTCTTTGTTTTCCATACAGAAATAAATGTGGACATAAAAACCAATCTCCTCCTGGACTTTTACACACACTTCCTGTCACTCACCTGTAAGCTCTCTGCTGTCCTACACTGGTGTCAGGTAGAGGTGTCCAAGCAGTCAGAGTTTGAGAGAACAGCCTCTGTATTACAGCAGCATACTGTATCATCCCACTACGTACTCTGCAGTACACACAGGCAACACAACACAGGGACAATAAGGTATATGAACAGATTCACTCCTGCAATGTCAGAATCCATCTAGTGCATTAAGAAAAAAATCACTGCAAGAAAAAAATGTCAGAACAGACTTGTTGTTAATCAATGCTATCATCAAATGGTAAGTTAGAACAGAATAGAATAGAAACAGCCTTTATTGTCCCACGCGGGGAGTTGTCGAACAAGTTAAAGTTTTGTTGTTGATTTTTTTTAGTTAGATTTTATGAAAATAATTAGGGATCAGAGAGTTGTGATCTGTGGGTCTCACTTTATCACTGCTTTAGGCTACAGTGTTAAATTAAACAATAATATAAAGGCAGATTTAAACACATCTGAATATATACTATGTATTGTAAAGAAGCCCACAAAAATACTGAATGTGATTTCAACAACAAAATGCATGTTTAAATCCTGGGTTTTCTGTTCGGACACTAATTGAATGGTATAAGCATATGGGTGTGTGTCTGTGTGTGTGTGTGTGTGTGTGTGTGTG